TTTTAATGGCTCTGATTGGAAGATCTCTTGCTCTTGCACTTGGGTGTAATCTTTTGAATTCTCCACTCTGGCCAAATTCAGTGGAGGATACCAGTCATATGCCTGCTGCTGTTGGTTTAGCTAGGTAGATGGAATTTTGAAGAATTTCAGGAGTATGTGGCACAGTAGTGAAGATAATCATTGGAGCAGTGGTGGGATTCAAATTTTTTTACTAACAGTTCTGTGGGCGTGGCTTGGTAGGCGCGGCAGGGGAAGGATACTGTAAAATCACCAGTCAGAGGTGGCATTTGCTGGTTCTCCGAACTACTCAAAATTTCCGCTACCGGTTCTCCAGAACTGGTCAGAACCTGTTGAATACCACCTCTGATTTGGAGGCTGACTAACACTCGAGTGAACTATGAAGGGGGAAATGGTTTCAATAGACCACTATTAGCACCAGATGGTTGTTTTAAATGGTGTCTTGGTGACTAGTGATAAGAACGTGGTTACATGCTGGCTTGCTTGTTTTAGAGGCAGCCTGCAATAGTCCAATTCCATTTTATATAGATTTATAAAAGAAAAGAAATCATGTTAATTCAGTCTCTATATTTTATGCAATTGCTCCATGGTAGTTTTGAGAATATATCTCTTTTGTCAGGATTGAGATAGTCAGCTTCAGCGACAATAATTATGCTATTATGAAAGATCAGCATTATCAGCCCCTGATGTTCCAAACCAATACCAAGTACCTGAAGAAGCATTCACACATAAATAATAAAAAAAAATCCAAGCATGGGAATTTCTCCTATTTCTGATGTGTAGCTCAAGTACAAAACTAACACAGCAGGAAATTCTGAGGGAGGAAGGAAAACTTATACCGTTGCATCTTTTTAGGGCCCTATTGAATGCTGTTGCTTTTTCTAGATATTCTTTGTAGGAATGTTCAATGAATGGATTTTGTTTCTATTGTTTTCTTTTTATTTTCCATCACTTTTTGCTTTTTTCTATGGACCGTTGTGCCCTTTTCTTCCAATAAACATCCATAATACAACAGCAGAAAAAGACCTACACCCTACACAGGAAGTCCTCAACTTACAACAGTTTATTTAGTGACGATTCAAAGTTACAATGGCACAATGGTCAAAAGTGACTTATGACCATTTTTCACACTTACGACCATTGCAGCATCTCCATGGTCATGTGATCAACATTCAGATGCCTGGCAACTGACTCATTTGTAACGGTTGCAGTATCCCAGGGTCAGGTGATCAGGTTTTGTGATGTTCTGACAAACAGAGTCAATGAGGAAGCCAGATTCACTTAACAACAGTGTCACTAACTTAGCAACTCCAGTGATGTACTTAACAAATGTGGCAAGAAAGGTCGTAAAATGGGGCTAAATTTACTTAACAAATGTCTCACTTAACAACAGAAATTTTGGGCACAATTGTGGTTGTAAGGAGGACTACCTGTATACTTTTTTTTAAATGTGCCTTTATAATAGATAATAATATTGTTCACTGAATTCATGAATCTTCTCTCCACAATGGCTACAGCATCGTAAGAGGCATCCATGTGTTTTCCACCAAAAAACAACTGAAATGGAATTTGGAAGTGTGCTATTTCAGAAGCCGTTATATCTTTCTGCACTGAGCAAGTGATATATAAATAGTAATTAAATATATATAGGAAACCATTCTTGGTTTTCAGAATCAATAAGATACTTGGTGACTTAAAATGATGCTTTTCTTGTGCATGGAACTTGATAGGATACCTAGATAATATCACTTTCATTGTTAACTCTTGATTTTTCCACTTCTCTTTCTTTTTCTACTTTGCATTAAGAATCCATTAAAGAGGGGAAAATGAAGCTGCTGCACCTTGTCTGTTATGGTATTAAGAACCTTCTATTTGAAAGGATTTACAGATTTTGGGAATACGCCCATAGAAACTAAAAGATTAGTTCTTGCAAAAAGAACAGCTGTGTTATTGAAAGAAGTGACAAGGGAGAAAGGGTACAATGAATATTCCATACATTTTATAATTTTATTCTAATGATACATTGGATGGCAGATACTATTTATCAATGAAGAGCACATCTCTTAATAGTTCATTTTTCACTAATATTTCCCTCAAGGAAGCTCTGTGTGGTTGAAAATATGTTCCAGTGTAGCACAATAATAAAAAAGAGGCCTTTTGTAATAGAAATCTGTAGCAAACATATGAACAGTGATACGTAGTTAGGGGAAAAGTTTTCTAAAAATGAAACCAAGAGCATATAAAATGACAGATGGAGACAGATCATCCCTGCTACCTGAAAATAAAGTATGGAAAAATGCAATCCATTTTGTTTCTGTAAAACAAACACATATTAAAGTGGTTAATGATCTCTTGATCATATTTTAATCTTTTTTTTTAAAGATTGAAATAAAATAGCATTGTATAAAGGAAGAATGATACACTGTCTATTAAGTGTTTCACCTCCTGATAACTGGATAAGGCTTTTGTAGGTAATCTTCAACTTAGGACCACAACTGAGCCAGAAAATTCTGTAGCTAGGCAGCACAGTTATTAAGTGAGGTTTGTGCCCTTTTACACCTTTTCTTGCCACAGTTGTTAAGCGAATCACTGCAGTGGTTAAGTTAGTAATACAGCTTCCATAATGACTTTGTTTCTCAGAAGGTCACAGAAGCCGATCACTTAACCCTGGGTCACTGCAACCGTCATAAATAAATGCCAATTGCCAAGTGTCCGAATTTTCATCATGTGACTGTGGGAATACTGCAACGATCTTAAGTGTGAAAAACAGTCATAGGTCACTTTTTTCAGTGTCTGTTGTAACTTCAGAAAACTCACTAAAAGAATGGTTTTAAGTCGAGGCCTACCTTTATTTTTTTTGTCATCCCAAAGAGCTAATATCAATAAATCTATTTCTTATGACAAATAAATGCCAGGATGATGGTAGTTACGATAGCAATATAGTCTGAAAGAAGTATTCTACCTTTGTTCACTAAATGGAGTATGGAAAATCTATAGATTCATTGTTGTGAAGCAATGCATAACAATTTTATCTCTGTGAAAAATAATAATTCTTAATAAGCTGTGAGTTCTAACTGGGTTGTCATAGGGATCCCTTCCATTCCTGTGAATATAAAGGCTTTCCTTTGGTTGTCTGGCTATAGATGCATTGTAATTTGTGAAAATATTTACTACAGAAATTAAAAGACTTGGATCAAGCCAATTCTGCTATTAAACAATTCTATATAAAAGCAGATTGTTACAAGAAGAGGGACATTAATTAGGCAAGTTCTCATGTACTCCCAACCATTAAACCATTAATTTCGCTATGATTGTGGAAGGAAGTTTGTGTAGAAGAATTTGGTGGATATGAACTCTTCTTTCCCATCGCTATCTGTTAGAGAAGCGTGAGTTGATCCCTCCTAATGTTCTTGCTTGGAAGCCAAAGTAAAGTAAAAGTAGTAATTTCTTTCTGATAGTGATAAGTTCTGGTAAGTTGTTTCACAACAGTTCTAGGAATTGGTTTATTTTTTTCACACTGTATTGTATCTCTACCATTCAAAATGAACCCAGGACAACAGTATTCAAAGTTTATTATGGAGGAAATGGAATTTTAGTGATAAATAAAATTGAAGGTTTTTGCTCTTGTTCTTTGGATCATATTGCCGATGTTTTGCCCTAGGTAATAAAGAAATGGTTCAGATTTAAACACCTGCTGAAAGACTTTGGCAAAATTCTATGATTATATTAGGAGTTCCATTCAGTCATATGGAAATTTAGTAATATGCAAGCCGGACTTTTATTTTGCGTAAAGTACCACCAAATTGTTTGAAAAATCACACATTACTAATGTGTAGATGGAGTATTTGATTTAATATATTGATCTAGCCATTAGTTAATCTGTTTTGGCTTACTGTGATACATGGATTAGCTTTTGTGGTTAATAAACTACAGTTTATGACTTAGTGTGTTATGCAAAATGTATCTCCATAGTTCAACTACATTATATTAAATCAAATCATGACTTCATATAGTGTGTGCACTCTGCCTAAAAGTAAGAGTGTAGGCTTAGCCTAGTACAGGGGTCGGCAACCTTAAACACTCAAAGAGCCACAAAGGTTCTAACCGGAAGCCCCCTGTTCAATTCTGGAGCCAACCAGACTCTATTGTGGTTCCCCCACCATAGAGTCTCTTCCTAGCATGGCGTCCTTTTTCCTCTACCTGTCCTAACCGAAAGCCCTATCAATTGTGGAGCCGACCGGCAACAGGAAGCCACAGCAGAGGGATGAAAGAGCCACATGCGGCTCCAGAGCCACAGGTTGCTGACCCCTGGCCCAGTAGTTTGTAATTACCAGGATCAGGCTTCTTTCATACAAAAAAATCACTTTTGATTCTCCAACATTTTTCACTAATCTAACTTAGTGAAAAAAGCTCTGAGGGTGTTAGAATTGCATAAATGCAAATCAAAAAATTACAGAGTCTTTCTAACCTGACAGTTATGACCTCATGACTATCAGTTAATTGCACATTTCATTTCTATATAGAATAAATAAAATATAGAAAATAAATGGATTTCCATCCATTGATCTAGGATAAAAACTGCAATCTTAAAAACAATACCATATTTGGTATATATAATTTTGTTTATGTTGCTTATTTTCTGTAACTGGGCATATTTTGCGGCTGCTAGAAAATGAGATAGAGGTGGTCAGTATATACATTATCCTGGTTTCTTGAACAGACATCCTTTTAATAATAGATACTGTATGAACCATTGACTTTCTTTTAAAATCATTTAAATTTAAGGTGTTTTAGAATATTATATTAATGAGGCCCTTTGGCAAGGGCATAATCTTGAAAGACAGTTGAAGATATTAAATAAGTATTTATGGAACATTGATTTTCAAGGACAATCAAACATAAATCCTGTTCAAGGTTAGCTATTTCTTCATAGAAGCCTCAACATTTATTATTAATAAAATATCTTTAAATCTTGTACCTAGATTAAAAAATTACAGCATGCTTCAAGAATGAACAAGGAACACATGCTGCTGAAACGTCATCGCCAAGTATGGTGGAAGGAGCACAAAAGATTGCACGAAAACAGGTAAGAAATTATATTAAAAACTTAATGAAGTAATTGAAAACAACAAGACTTCATATGCAGAGTCTGAAGGAAAGTGATTTTTTTAGATAAGAAAATCCTCAAATGAACCTGAAATAGTTGTGCTATTAATCTATGGAACCAGAGAATGGGGAAAAAACAACACTCTGGGGAGGAGAAATAGATCTGATTGCACTCAGAGCTCAGGTGTGTGTGTGTGTGTGTGTGTGTACAGGGAGGAAGGGAGGGAGGGAGGGAGTTTCTATGTACAGATTTCAAGCTGGCCTGGAAAACTTTTAACAGGCTGATTAGATAGAATTAAATCTGCTTCTAAATTCTGCTTATTCTGACTACGGTTAACTACCAATTGAGTTTCCACATGAAGGAAGAATTGGGTAAGACCCCAAAATGTGCATGCATGCAGACATTTGGGTACCAAATAAAAAAGTATATTTTACCTGACCTGAAATGTTTAATTGCAGGCAGAAATTAGAATCTGAAATTCAAGTATTCTTTGATGAAGAAAATGAATGTTTTTTCGACTTGTGGGATTTGCGTAAGTAATCTGTCAGTTTCTGGATTAAACTAAATGGTGCAGTTACTGATATGGAGAGAGAAGCAGAATGTAAGGGTTAAGAAGGAGAGTGGATAAAGAACAAAAGATTTGATATGTTTGCGTTTTTCATCTAAGTTCCCTTAAGAAGAAACTTTTCCTCTTCAAAATAAATCCAGTATCAGCTGACATGAGTATTGAGTGAGCAGTCTTTGTTTTTTTCTATGGACTGTTGTGCCCTTTCTCTCCAATGGCCATCCATAATATAACAGCAGAAAAAAGCCTACACTCTATATAGGTAGTCCTTGACTTACAACAGTTTGCTTAGTGACCGGTTTGAAGTTACAACCGCACTGAAACAAGTTACTTACGGCCGTTTTTCATGCTTATGACTGTTGCTGCATCCCCATGGCAACATGATTTACATTTAGATGCTGGACAACTGATTCACATTCATGGCAGTGCCTTGGGGTCATGTGATCACCTTCTGCAACCTTCTAACAAGCAACATCAATGATTCACTGAACAAATGTGCAAGAAAAGTCATAAAGTGGGACAAGGCTCACTTAACAAATTTCTCACTTAACAACATACATTTGATCATAAGTTGAGGACTACCTGCACTATACATACCATACTATGAATATTATATTGTGCTCAACCCTTTCCTTTTCTGGGAAGCCTGGGTTTCTTATTCTTTTCAGAGACAAAGAAGAGAAAATGTAAATTTCCTTTTCTATAATATAAGCTATTATTTGACAAATTCTTATTAATTAGCTCTTTAACCGAGCAACACCCCTAATTTCTATTTAACTTTTAATAGGATATAAATTAACAAAAGGCTTGGATACATTTCAAGCAAACACAGTGCAACCTGTCTGGCAGCTAAGGGAAGATTTAAGGTACAGAGTATTAGAAATGCAAACCAACTGCAAAAGTGTGGAATATCAATTTAATCCAGATGCTGTTTTAGAAGAGGTTAGTAATTCAGTGCTTCTGCATACCATCTTTCCTCCTATATCTTACTGTGGATGATCTTCTGTCCTATTATTGCATTTGCATTATATTTGCACACTTACAGAAATACGCTGTTCAGTCAAGGTATGAAATGTGATACAGAACTAATTTCAGAATCCAGATTCTTAAAACTGTTTCTTTTCTCCCCCGACACTTTAATCTTGTTTTATGTTTGCCATGTAGATAGATAGCATGCTATTGGACATAATTTTCTGCACTGTATTTTCGAATGCCATCAATCACTGCCTATAGATTCGAGATTGGTCACCATTATTATTTTTTTCCTGTGTCCACAATGGTAAATCTTATGATCCTCCAAACAAATTATAAATCTCATCCCTCCTATTGCTGGTCGTGCTGGCTAGCTGATGGGACAGATTTTCTCACTTCTGTCCTGTTTCATATCCACTCATTCTTTTCAAAAACACTTCAACTTTGAAAACAAATTTCCAAAAAAACAAATCCAAATCAATTTAGATAGTGAATTAGATAGTGAATAAAACATAGGTTTTGGATTTTTATATAAAATGGGCAAACCTTTTGGGATGGAATACACATAGATATGTAGAAATAATCTAGTTGATGTTAATGTTAAGGCTGCCAGGGGTGAAATTCAAAATTTTTCCCTACCGGTTCTGTGGGCGTGGCTGTTGGCATGGCAGTGGTTGTGGATTTGTATAATAGTAATAGCAACCAGGGGCGATTTTTTACAGATCCAAATCGTCCCTACCACCTTTCCCGAGCTGGGCCAAGATGGTTGAATTTCACCCCTGGGCTGGCTGTTAATTTACTATGGAACACATAGACTGAAATTATAACTAACTAGAAATAATTAGATGTATAAATAAATCCATATATACAATAACTTTTTATTCTTTGCTTTTCTGCGAACAAATTATATAGCGTTTTTTCATGGAAAATCAAACTACATGCTATAATTCAATCTGTCTTGTTTGTTAAAATCTTGATCTGGCCTATACAAAATAAACTGCTGTACCTTCATACAGCAATTTCTAAAGAATAACATTTTTCAGTCCAAATGTATGAAAATAGGAATACACATAATGTTCTCTGTGCATCTGGTTGGATGCCTTAATCTTGGGATTTTCATAGACTCAAATATTGATCTATTTTAGGAAATTTTGTCTGATGCTAATCATTTTTTCCCCTTTGGACTTCGCTTCAATGTATTCGATTCAGACTAATTTGATGACATGCTACATTTACAGATTTAGGATTTTCATATATATCTGCTTACCTTATTAATAAAATAATTAAGAAAAACCAGAAAAGTTTGGGATATAAACCCAGGTCCAATTCCCACTCAGGCCAAATCTAGAACTCCGACCATCTAGCTCTTTAAATTTGACCTGTTTTATAGCATTTTTGTGGTAACACAAAAAGGGATAGCTTTTTTGCATTATACATGAATTCTTTGAAAGGAGATACTGTAGAATAAGAAATAGAATGAATCAATGAGCAATCTGCTGTTGTGTCAATACACGGGACCACATTTACAACATTCAGTGTTCTTTAATTCATTAATACAATATTTCTCAAAACTAGATAGAGTTTGTGAAGAAACAACAGAAAGCAATTTTGGGAAAGCTTCATCTGGAGAGAATAGCTTTGGAAAAGGAGCTTGAGGAATTTATAGATGAAGTAAGTTCTTTGGTGTGTTTTTTTTAATGATTTTTAATTATATTAGCAAGTATGTGGCAAATGGTTCCAATGTCTTTATTTTTATTATAGGCCCTGGCATGTACTTTAGAGGAAAGGACCACATTTGTACCTGAGCTTCCACCACAGTTATTGGAGCTGGAGTGCCCATATCCTGATCTGAAGGCTTCTGTGCTTACTGAATTTTATAAACTTGCAGATGACTATTCTTTGAAGATCCAAGAAGCTGATCAAGACTTAAAAACCATAGCGAGGTAATAGAATCTCAATTCATGTTTGTTTTAGGATTAAGTAAAATGTTTTGGTATTGAAATATTCTGCTATTGCAGTTGCCTTTACCAAGGGAACGGGGAAGGGGAGATGCCCTGCTGAGCCATCATGCATAGTTCACCTTCTCTCCAGCTCAATGGGATTAAGTAGTCAGTAACTATTTGCACAGCTGAGAGAACTGCCTCATTCTAAATAGCTTGGACTGAAATAATAAGCAAAATGTTCAAAGGAGTTGAAATACCAGTCACCTATCATAAAATCCTTGGTGGGTATAAATGTAATGTCCCCCCCGCCCCGTTTAATAACTTATTTTTAGTCAGAGAAAATTGAACCTGTTGATATATTTTGAGCAGTCCCCACAGCTAAAAATACAGAGTCTTTCCTTCTGTGAACCTGAATTTATTGGTCTACATGGTTTCATTGAAATTCTTACTCAACTGAATCCATTTAGATACTATGGCAGATTCAGAGACTTGGAACACTAGAACTCAAACAACCTTTTATGTCAGGAAAGCTGAAATTGGTTGGTGGCATGAGGGCCAATGCCTCCAGCTGTCTCACTGAGCATTTCTACTGCCTAGCCCTCAGTCTCTCAAATTCAAGAGATTAATTGCTGGAATAGTTTTATGTTGTCCCTGTGGTCTTTCAGAATCAAACCTTTGATAATCCCAGTTAAATTAAAAAAAAAGTGAAACAATAAATTTCAGTCAAACAAAACAGAAGTGACACTTGTATTTGTGAATTTAAACTCAGAGGAGTGACTTGGACAATTTTCTTATTTTGAACTTACAAAAGAGATACTTATGAAGGAGTTTTTGAGAAAAATAAAGAGAGAATGAAAAAAATAAGATTTTAGGACATTACTTAAAAGAAATAAACATAGACCTTTAAAAACATAAAGAAGGTTTATAAAGTTTGCTTATTTGATTCAGGTTAAAATGTTTATGTTTTTTTTCTAGCAGATTTTAATGGATTTTTCTTGACTAAGACTGAATGAGGAGGCTTTAACAAATTATTTATAGATAAGATATGGAAAGAAGTGATTTTTGTTACATTTTTAGAGAAAGTGATAAGGTATGATATTAAAATTGAAAGAAAGTGTTAAATGTGTGAAGGGGTTTCTGACATGAAGTGAAGTTGATAAGAAATTAATTTGTGGGACAATATTTGAAGGAATTAAATTGCATTATATTGTTTCTGGTATCTCTTAATAGAATTATTTTTTATTACATTAGAATGATGAGGCTTTAAATTATGTTTATAGATATAAGATGTGGGAAGAAGAGATTTTGTTGCATTTTAAAAAAAATAATAAGTGACTGTGTAAAGGAAAATGGAATTGATTTACTTGTTTAGGATTAAATATATAGTTATTTCTGGTAACTTTTAATGGACCTGCTGATAAAGATTGAATGATGAGTATTATTTGCTAAAAGGTGAAATATGGTATGAAGAGATTTTTGGTTGAATGTTAGAGAAGGTGATAAGTTACTGAAATTGTATTTGTCCTTCTATGTGTGTCTGTCTGTACCTCTTCACCCCCTTTTTTCTCTATGTAATTTTTTTCTTTTCCACATTTTCTTTATTATTTATTCATAAAATTTATTGGCTACCCATTTTACCATAGGTAACTCTGGGCAGCTTACAATACAGTTAAAACATAAAAAGTTGAAATCAGACATTAAAACCAAGGACACATGGGGAGGGCAGGGCGGAGTAGTGGGGTAGGTGGGATCTATTATTACTTGATGAACACCTCCATTGTGCTGTTCCCCCACTGGGGCTCCAGGCCAACTGGCACAGCCAGGTCTTTAGGCCTTTATGAAAAGATAGGAGAGTTGGGGCCAACCTCACATCAGGGGGCAATATGTTCCAGAAGGTAGGAGCAACAGCAGAGAAGGCCCTCCTTCTGGACCCCACCAGCCAGAATAATTGCTGCCAGCATGAGTGGTACGGGCCAGTCCAAGTGGGGTGAAATAGTCCCTCAAGTAACCTGGACCCATGCCACGAAGGGCTTTAAAGGTGATCACTAACATTTTGAATTGCACCTGGAAGCAGACTGATAAACAATGCAGCTTGCAGAGCAGTGGTGTTGCAGGGCCCCCAAAACTGTCCACGTTGCCACATTCTGCACCAGCTGTAGCTTCTGAATATTCTTAGTTTCAATTAGTAATTTATCTTAATATTCTTAAGTAAAAGTTGTTATAAAAATGACGAAGTTTGGGGAAAAAAAGATTCTTGCCCCAACTTATCACAACTATTCCAAATGTTATTCTTAGCATATCTGATACGAGGGCTTCAGTTGAACCATTTTTTTCCTCCTAGCACACTATGTTCCACATTTTTTTTTTAACCTCTGCCCCTGCCCTCTCTTTAACTTCAAGCTAGTTTATCAGCTCCCTGGGATCCCTATGACTTTATCTATTACCATCCTTCCATTGCTGTCATTTTCTCCACCACTGGGTTACACTATAGCTGTGTTTAAGTCTGTTTTAGTTGATCCTTTGTATACTTTGTTTCTTTGTACCTATGGTTTGGGTGTTTATATATCGTTCTGGTTTCTTAGCCATGAGGGTCCTTTGTTTTATATACATATGTGTGCACCTATCCATATCCTCGTATGTGTATTACCCCGCCTTTTTGTGCCTGTGACATGGGTCATATACCACAATAATATGGATTGTATGGGTTTGGTTTAGTGCTACTGTATGAACTCTGACATTCTGGTTTATAAAACTGTGGCTTTAGCTTAGAATTATTTGAGAACACAGCAATTTTGATTTAATCAATAAGCTATGCTTAAATACCGTAAGCCCTTATTTTGCAGAATGTATAAATCAGGGTTTTTTATATTAGTGTTGGGGTTCTTATCTTAAAGAGGAGGAAAAGAGAAAAAGAAAAGAAAAATACACCTGTATCTAGCAGCCTGGAAGAACAAGCAAGGCAAAGGGGAAACCAAATCATGCTAGGTTCTTGACATGCAAATATTCCAGCTGAAAGTAGGTTTCAACTAAGGCCATCACTCAAAAAAAAAAAAAAATAGAGATAGTAATCAACATAATATGGACGCTTTGTTTGAAACAAAGGAGGTAATTTTAAGCCACTCATTCTAAACATATGTATTTGTATTCACTGATGCTTACTTGATTATACTATATTGTTTCTATGACTATAAAGCCAGTAGTTTGGTCATACCCATGATCATAATGGAGGTCTCCTTGGCCATTTTGTGAGTAGAGTAAAATAGATCAGTCAGGGAGCACTTGCTTTGCACGACTGATGTATGTGATAGAAAAGGAGAAAGCACTGTCTGAATTCCCGAATAGCTGCTGCCAGCCAGGATAGTAACTGGGATATCTGGACAAAAGGAACTTCATGTAGTCACTCATTTTGGAGGCTTTTTCAGACTTTCCCTGCCCTCTTCTTGATTTTCTAATTATCTTGCAAATTCAATTTTCATTGATCACACTAAGAATTGGGGGAGGAATTTTGCATTGGTAATTGCTGTAGTGCCATGGCAGAGGATACTATTCTACTACTATTCATGGCAGATAGAACTACCATTCTATCTGAAAACTAGAACAAGGGACGTGTTATCTCTTTGTGCAAGTATGGATCCATTGTGCCTCTGTTTGTACACTACTGGCACCATACAGAGCACAGAGGATTGGACTAGGCAGGTTGCTGTGGAAAGTACCATCATGTTAGGAAGGATATTATCCCAAATTGACATGTTGGGCTTTGTTATTGTAGAAGGTTAATCTGAAGAAACGCGGAGGGAGGGGAAAATATGCTTGAATGTGAAACACTAGTAAACTTCGGAATGCCATCCACTTTTCAGACAAAGTGAGAGAAATGCTTTCTATGTGCCTTAAATTGATGGTATTTAATTTCTGTAGACACTAATGCATTTCATAGCTTTGTTTTTCTCAAAGCATATAATCATGTGAAAAAGAAAGTACACCCCATTGCATTTTTTGATCTTTTCTACATATTTCAACATGCAGCTGTCTGATCTTCATTTCAATAATATTGATAGATAAAAAGGGTTATAAAAATATCAGGCAGTATTTATATTTTATAATTCATTGTGTGATTTAAATAAACATAAATGCAACTTTTGCATGTGGAAAAAGTAAGTACACCTCCACACTTATCACTACCTCAAATATCTAAATATTGGGTCAGTGCAAATGATTAGAACTTTGTTAGAGAGAATTTGGGAGGGATTTGTCTTATGAAACTTCAGACACTCAGTTTGATTTGCTCTTTGTTGTTGAAGTGCTTGCTATCTCCATACCAAGATCAAAAGGGTACTTTGAGGCTTCAGAGTGGTTATAGATGCTTACAAGTCTGGAAAGGTATTTTAAAAAGATTGCCAAACGATTGGACATCGACCATCCCACTGCCCGGAAGATCATCTACAAAATGGAGACGATTTCAAATGATTGACAAGTTGCCCAGCTAGCCCTTCCCAGTTCAGTCTCTAAAAATCTCAAAATTTCATCATGTAATCTATAGGTAATTCTCCTCTATTGATGACAAAGTATATGAGTCTATCATTAGAAGCGGCACAACTTAGATCAACATAGAAAGTGTGCCAGGATAAAACCTTTACTTCCCAGAAAGAACCTCAAAACCTGACTCCTATTTGCTCATGCATACCTAGGCAAAGTCTAGGAATTTTGGAACAATGTGCTCTGGGCAGACAAGGCAAAGACAGTTATTTGGCCACATAATCAGAACACATGTTTAGCAAAAACCAAAGACAGGATTTCATGAGAAGAATTTGACACCAAAAGTAAAGCATTTTGTGGAAAAATTACAATTTGGAGCTACTTTGCTGTGTCAGAACCCGGGCAGCTCATCATGGTAGAATCCAGTGTGAATTCTTCATTGTACCAGAAGGTGCTAAGGATAGCGTGAAGCTATTTGTCAGAATATTTAAAGCTGAACCGAAACGGGACCTTCTGTGACAAAACTC